GTAATAATAATAATAATAATAATAATAAGAAGAAGAAGAAGAAGAAGAATAGTAATAATAATAATAACTAATATTAATACATTTGCTATTCTTTTGTTTACAGAGTATTACAAGTATTGTAAGTAATACAAAAGTAATACTAAAATTGTATTGACCTTATTTTTTAATGTTTATGCAAACAAAAAGTGCATATTGCTGCCAATTCTATTTGTGTTAATATAAAAGTTGTTGAAACAAGTTTCAGTTTGTGTATCAGTATTTATTTTTTTTATTTATTTTACTTTTCAACACATTTGAACAATATCGCGATAATACCGATAATCGTGATAATTTTGGTCATGATAATCGTGATATGAAATTTTAATATCGTTTCATCTCTAATTAGCACAATATTTTCTAGTTGAAAAATTGAGATTATCAATAACATCAGACCCCCCACACATGAATACACACAGTGTGCTGCAGCTTTGGCAGGGTCAGGGATCAGAAGAACTGTTTCTCCACGTTACAGCTAACTCTAGAGTAATATCCAGTCACTTTAGCTTTTTTTCTTTTTTACTGCAGCAAGTCCATTTGAGTCAAGCTGAAGCTCGTAAATATACTGGCACTTTCAATTCCATTCACTCAAGTGAAACTTAATGTAAAGTAAAATAAGTACACAAGGAAGCCGTGCAGAAAAGCTAGCATTAGAGTGTAGTATAGCAGAGAGAAATAACAGGCAGCTTCTAAACAAATCTGTCTCTTTTTTTCTCTCTATCAAACAGAAGAAACTGACTATTGATGCACGCACCCACACACCATATTTACTTTCCAATTACGTTGCCCTATCACTCAGGTCTAGTAATAGTAGCAGCACAATATTAGTTGTGGTTTGTGGTGAAAGAAGAATTGTTAAGAAACACTGACTGAAATGTACACAATATTGCCAGAAGTATTTGCTCGTCTGCCTTCACACGCATATGAACTTGAGTGACATCTCATTCTTAATCCATAGGGTTTAATATGATGTCGGTCCACCCTTTGAAGCTATAACAGCTTCGACTCTTCTGGGAAGGCTTCCCACAAAGTTTAGGAGTGTGTTTATGGGAATTTTTGACCATTCTTCCAAAAGCGTATTTGTGAGGTCAGACACTGATGTTGGACAAGAAGGCCTGGCTCCTGTCTCCACTCTAATTCATCCCAAAGGTGTTCTATGGGGTTGAGGTCAGGTCTCTGTGCAGGCCAGTCAAGTTCTTCCACACCAAACTCACTCATCCATGTCTTTATGGACCTTGCTTTGTGCACTGGTGCGCAGTCATGTTGGAACAGGAAGGGGCCATCCCCAAACTGTTCCCACAAAGTTGGGAGCATGAAATTGTCCAAAATCTCTTGGTATGCTGAAGCATTAAGAGATCCTTTCACTGGAACTAAGGGGCCGAGACCAACTCCTGAAAAACAACCCCACACCATAATCCCCCCTCCACCAAACTTTACACTTGGCACAATGAAGTCAGACAAGTACCATTCTCCTGGCAACCGCCAAACCCAGACTCGTCCATTGGATTGCCAGACGGAGAAGCGTGGTTCGTCACTCCAGAGAACACGTATCCACTGCTCTAGAGTCCAGTGGCAGCACTTTACACCACTGTATTCAACGCTTTGCATTGCGCTTGGTGATGTAAGGCTTGGATGCAGCTGTTCGGCCACGGAAACCCATTCCATGAAGCTCTCTACGCACTGTTCTTGAGCTAATCTGAAGGCCACATGAAGTTTGGAGGTCTGTAGCGATTGACTCTGCAGAAAGTTGGCAACCTCTGCGCACTATGCCCCTCAGCATCCGCTGACCCCTCTCTGTCATTTTATGTGGCCTACCACTTCATGGCTGAGTTGCTGTCGTTCCCAATTGTTTCCACTTTGTTATAATACCACTGGCAGTTGACTGTGGAATATTTAGTAGGGAGGAAATTTCATAACTGGACTTGTTGTATAGGTGGCATCCTATCACGGTACCACGCTGGAATTCACTGAGCTCCTGAGAGCGACCCATTCTTTCACAAATGTTTGTAGAAGCAGTCTGCATGCCTAGGTACTTGGTTTTATACACCTGTGGCCATGGAAGTGACTGGAACACCTGCCTGAATTCAATGATTTGGATGGGTGAGTGAATGCTTTTGGCAATATAGTGTATTTAAATAAGTGTACGTTATGTAGCTAAAATTTATATCTGAAAAATATAGGGGACACTATTTTTCCCTGTATTTTTTCAACCAGACCCCCTTGGAGAAGAACACCTGCCAACTACTTTTTTTGCATTCCGACTCCGTTTGGCTTAAAAGAAAAAAAGAAATCATGATTTAAGTTTGTCTTTGGACGAACAAACCTTACACAAAAAGTGCGAACTGTTTGGAAGGCTAATTTTTAGAGATAGACCAAATTCAAGGATGAGTACATATTCTTTAGTACTTGCCGATAGAAGTTCAATACCATAATGAATTACATACTCAGAATTAAGTAGTTGTTAGTGTAAATGAATGCAATGCACCTTAACAAATAAATCATTAGAGTCTAGCTGATTTTAAACGATGTACATTAGGCAGTTACCTTGGACTAAGTGGTGCTGCAGTGGAGAAGAGTGGGTTTTGTTCCACATCAGAAAAGCACTTTTGTACAGCTGTAAGTGAAGAATGTTTCATAGTTTTGTTCTCATTCTCCTCATCTGTCTCTTTTAACAACAGGCTCTGCAGCACAGTGACAGAAGGAATTATATCCGAGGCTAATCCATCCGATGAGCTCACTTGTTAAAGTCTAGCGAGTGGCTGTTTGAGCCATAGTGGAATGTCTTCTAAAGACAGGCATACTATGTGATTTCAGAAATCTTGTTCTTTGGTGACTCACGCTGTACGTTTGAATTTACCATAGTGTATGGACAAAGCCTAGGATTTATATATTCACACTGTACGGAAGACATCCACTGCCAACTTAAGTCGTTTGTTCAATAGTGCTGCAACATACACGAACTAAGCTTATGTCACATGGTATCAGGTGGTATCGGATGTTAGTGCATTTTTATGAGGTCGAGTAAGAGTAAATGAGCACAATAGCAGGCAAATACCCAATACCAGTATTAATATTGATGCATCCCTACTTATTTTTAAAATAAAAAAGAAAAAATGTATTGCTCAAAGTGCATATAAACATGAATGTGAACTACTTTATTAAAGTAATTATATTAGGTCTCCAAAGATGCTTATGCCTAGGGGCCTCGCAAGACCATGATCGGTCCTCGTCTAGTATTGTGCCATTTCTTTTTATTTTACTTTATGTATATGTTACAGAGGCTTTGTGTTCGGCCACACGTTCATGCTTTATTCTTGCTGTCAGAAATCCTCACTCATTGTGCTCTCTCTCACTCTCTCACACACACATACACACACAGTGTTCCTCACCAATAAGCATCTGCTTCCTCGATATGTCAGAACACAGTGAAAGAACCGTGTTAACTGATCCCACAGACAGGAGGCTAAGCCTTACTGTAACTAATAATGGGCTACATCAGCTGATGGAAGGAGGGGGTTGACAGAGAGAGTGGGTGCTCTCTCAACTCTGTCCTTGGGATAATCCCGTATACCTTCTCAAAGCCTGCTGCTGTTTGATTTGTAGCTTTCTCAAATGGTAAAAAAAAATCCAAGCCCGGCTGACATCGTCTCAGCACCAAAAAATTACAAACAGCTCCCTCGCTCTCGGAGTCGTTTACAGGTAGTATACGCGAGCGAAGCATACCGATTAGGAGTGCGCAAAACCCAGCACCGTAATCAATGGAAGCAATAAAAATTCTCACTGAGAGAATATATCACTGAGAGAAAATATCACTGAGTTTTAAACTGGGCAAACCAACTCTCCGTATAACCCTCCCCCTGCCAGGACTAAACCACTTGGGGAAGGAAGGGATATGTAAATTCAGGTCATTTCTGCTTATGAGGGACGTGGTGGCGTTAACTAAGCGCCTGCTACCAGCAGACGTTCTAAAACGCCTGGCGGCGCCTCGCGTTTACCTGACGGCGAAAAGAAAACCCTTAAACGCCGCTCTGTACGGCGTTTTTAAACATAGCGCGCGCTTTTTACGCCGTCAAAACCCTGACGAGTTCTGACCCTCTTGGCTTGCCATAGTGATTCCCCCATCCAGGTGGACCCGACGTAGCCGAGTCCCCTCTACTAGACCCTCTCCTTGCTCCAACACTCACCGAACTCAGTGGCATTTGCATTCAGTCGCCGTACGCGCCCCCCTCCCTCCCACCGGCAAGCAACGGCAGCACGACGGTGGTGTTTAACTACAGGAGGAGGAGGGGGTGCCTCGCTATTTCACCCTCAAAAAAACAAAAAAAAAAACTCGTGCGTGAAGAGAAATTCCAATTACCATCGTGTAAACGATCCAACCTATCTGATCACTCACATACGACTGACAGTAAGCGGCCGCTTGGGATTCACGTCAACTAGGTTTGAGGTCCAAACAGCAGAGTTTATTATACAGAGCTGACATTTTGTGAAGAAAACTGCCACTAAAGCTCAACCAGAAACTCGTGACAAAAATTTACTGAGCGTGACCACCTGGTTCGTGGTCGGTCTGGCAATCCGGGACAAAGCTGTAGCCACACGCAATTGTGTCTGATTCACAAGAGCTCGGTTTTCCAGCGCTATAACGTGTGCAAGACATGCATAATTCATAACACACAAACTGGCTTCTCATTACCCAGGATTTTTACTGCATGACAGAACAGAGGAGAAACACGCAGAACTAAACATGATCAGCCGCAGTGTAAGAATTTAGTTGCGGCGTTTAATATGGAAGCAAACGCCAAGCTTCAAACCTTCGTTGCCTGGAAGCAGTGGAGAAGAGGCAGAAAGAAGCTGAACACAGTACGACCACCAAAACCCGGCCTAACAGCGCGGACAGCCGCCGCAAAACAATCAGCAGGGCACATCGACGCCAAAATGAAATGATCTGAAAGGCATTTGTCGCTTACCTGTTAATATTCCGACCCGGATTTGGTGGTCGTGGTTGGTTAAAATCATCCCGTCCGACGCCATGTTGAGCAGCTGCGCTCTTGCCCGCACTGGGAAGCCTTGACGGAACCGAGTGTCGAGCGCATCGAACTTCAGGGGGAGGGGAAAGTGAAAGTGAGCAAAGACAGCCAAGATAAGTCGAGTTACGAGCTCCAGCGGAATGGCGAGAAAATTAAGAGGTGCGAGATAGCTGGAGCCATGTACAGTACCCCCCAAAAGTAAAAGTGCTTGGAAACAAAATGACCAAGGATCATTCACTGTAAACAGACCTTACTTTTCTTTTTTTCTTTAGCAATGTATTATTTCAGAAGGTGGCTGTTTCAGATCAGTAAGATCACTCGTTTCAGGAGTTTCTTTGCAGATTTATAAACGTTTGCATCCAAAATGATTTTGTTCACTTTTGAATTCATAATTCTATGAATAAACACAAGCTCACCTACACCACTGTAAGAACAACAGCCTCAGACTGTGGTGTAAGGGTCTTATGGTCCCCAGTACAAATATCATAAGGCCTCAAATGGCCACCCCAAGTGAAAATTACTTACAATTAATAAAAAGGATATATAATTTGATTTGTTGTCTGTATCTTAAACCTAATATCCCAAGGTATGTCACTCCACCCACTAGCATCTAACAGTAACTTAAATGTAGACTAGCAGTTCAAGATTTAAAAAAATATAAGTATAGTTATAAATAATTAACATATATTACAAGTTGTGAAAGAATTTAGAAATTAAAGGTTACCATGATTTGCATTATGAATAAGAGGATGAAAAACAGACAGGGCTGTCTGTGCAGTGTTCATGTAAGCTAACTAACAGATATGTTGTCAAGAAACTGAAACTTTCTGTAATTCATGGGTGAACAATTATGTCAGAATCGATATGAGGGCCCTAATAAAAAAATTTATGGAGCTTGGTTGCTGTGGGCCCCAGTGAACCATGAGCTTCACGGACTACGAAGGTATTATTAGCTGTTCTATTACTCGAGAGAAGCTGAACCATAGCCCAATCCAGGAAGCTTTACACCCCTCTAACTGATGTTTGCGATTGGGCACGGTGGCCTTACACTCATGTGCAGATGGTTCGGAGCATCCTGTTTTATTGACAGTGATTTTCTAAGGGGATTATACAGGCTGTGTGAGGGCATTGCCAATTGCACCTGTGTCAGCAATTGATGTACAATAATATGGCTGAATTCAATAATTAGAAAGGATGTCTGCATATTTTTGGACATTTTATCACATGGGACACAGAATAGCAGTTGAACTACAGTTAGTAAGATATGTTTGTTTTTCTTCCAAAAACTCAATTTGAAACCTACCTACCTTCTATATTTATGTTTTGTTTTGTCTTTTTGTCCCTCTGCCCACCATAAGCATTGCACTTTTGCCCCAAAATGAAAAGTGTGGCCACCCTGCCTAAAGGTGAGACTACATATGCTAATCATTTCCCATTGGTCATCATAGCATCCTCCAATATCTCAACAAGTAAGAAAAACTAAGAAAATAACTATAGCCACATGGTTAGTTATGTTAAATTTTTTCCCTCAATTTGTTGACGTGTCAAATGTGGGGAATGTTTTACTGCTCAAGATGATACAGGAGTATCAAAAATACCTAAGCTGAACAGAGGTTGTAAAGCATTCTTTCTAGCAAATACAAAGGGACAAAGGGATTGTGGTTGACTGGGCCTTCTCCAATGAGCAGCATCTGAAATAATTTAATAAAATTGTGATTAATTGAATTATCAGTTTATCAAATGTTCTTGACTTCTGTGGATTGCCTGCCTAAGGTAGTCAAAAATAGTCAGCGTTTGCTGCTGCTGATGTGTTCCATAGATGTCCTTGTACTGTAACCAGACCAACTTTGCTAATTATTAGACTCGCCGACTTATTCCTTTTTAGTCCTGCTTACAACCATGTTGCTCTATTGTTTTATGTGTTGCTCTATACATTGTTCTCTTCATGTATGTTTCTGTCTTGTTTTAAAATTGTCGGGCTTTGTAGAGCATTATTTTGAGATAAGCATGTTAATTTAAATTAGAATTTTTCCAGATGGAGCTGGTCCCAGATCATCTCAAAAACACATCTTCTGCCTTGAGTTACACATTACACTCTCAAAAACTCAAGGCATGCTTTTTAGAGACAAAGGAAGATTATGAATGAACAATTCTTCCTACATTAAAGACACTGCTCCAGTTTGGGGTAACTGAACAGTAATTCTGATTCTCAGAATAAAGATTTTTTTTGCTGCACCACTTTGGAATGATATGGTGGTCAGTAAACTTCAACACCAGAAGCATTTCCTTTAATTCCTTTAAACGGTAATGTTTACTGATAGGATTGGTGTTCAGCTGTGAGGGCCACAAGGGATAGATGTGTGAGAGGGAAGGAGAGGAATTGGTACCTATGTGAGAAATTAATTACACACTTTATTGCAACACAGATGCGGGAGTTTAGAGGAGATAATGGATTCAGCAGTGGAGTGCAAAACTCCTTTGAAGGAAAGAAACAGCTTTATTAACATGTGCTGAGGGGTGTTATGGGTTTTGGTTTGAGGGGCAGGATAATTCACCCACTGTCCAAAAGAACACCCTTGGAGTGTAGGGTATTAGTCTGAATCAGCAATTAATTTCTTTTCTTTTTGCTGATATGAGATCAGTTTTCCTATATACTAATGTCAATTTTCACATATTTTTGATTTAGTCTTAGTTTTAGACTTTTAACAAAAATGGACTTTAAAAATGGTCTAATTATAGTCATATCATATTGCTGTGATATTAATATCCCAATAAATTCTGTTTGAACGTTGTACCTTATGAAGTTTATTGTTTCCTGTAAGTATATGCTCATTTCAAATTTGATTCCTGCAAGATGTTCCAACAAAGTTGGGATGAGAGCATGTTTACCACTGAGTTACATCACCCTTACTTCTAACAACATTTCAAAATCATTGTGGGACTGAAGACACCAAGTGACCCAGTTGTAGAATATGGCTTGATGATGTCATGTTAAAATTAGCATGGATGTCCCTTCTAGCATCTAGAAGGCAGAAAATATGTTGCTACAAAATCTGTTCAGCATTAATGGTGCTTTCATACTCTCCCATACCATGAGAGACCCTGGTGTTTATTGACAATAGTCAAAGTATTCCCAAGCCCATTCAATGATATCCACCTCAGGAGCATGCTGTTTTTTTTTGTTTAACACTGCCATCTAATGCATTTTTGTGAAGTGGCGGGTGTTGATCATTCTTGCTCATAAATGTCTAGGCCTTTCCTGGATGCATCTTTTATATCCAAGCATAACTGCATCAGCTGTTTCATTTTTTTTTTACATTTCACAACATTCCTTAAATTGCCTCTGTCACAACTTTTTTGAAATATGTTGCAGGCGTAAATTTCAGAATGAATATATATTTATGCAAAAAAAGAAGTTGATAGGATAAAGCATTGAATATCTTGACTTTACATATTGATGTATTGTTTTTTGTTTAAATACAGGTCAAAGTAGATTTATAAATTAATGCTGTTTAAATTTTAATTTGACCTACTTTTTTGGAATTGTGTTTGTACTTCGGCTAAATTGATGTCAAATTTTAGATGACTACAATAATAACACGCTTCTGGATAAAACCATGCACATTTGTCAAACAGAGCACACAGTTCTAACTTATTGATTTCAAATTTTCAATAACCTAGCATTCAATCTCCATCAACATACCTAAACATTAATTAATAAGCTAATATCAAAACGCTCGTTGGACAGCTCCAGTTATCTGCCACAATGCGCAATAAATCAGTAGTTAGTTAACAGTTCCACTAATGCAGCAGCTACAGCTAGCAATGTAACAATACAGTGTATCTTATTGTAACAAAATATATCACAGTGTATCACATTGTCTCATACTGTATTGCATGGGCAAAGTAATCACATACCACTGCTAGCTTGGTTCTAACATAACTTAGAAAGCTGTGACAGGGTTGCTAATGCTATATTAGCATTATTGTGTAGATGTTACCTTGTGTAGCTTTCTGGCAATGACAGGTACTACGTTGGACACCACGCATGTCTATGATAGTCATTATGTCATTTTTATAATATAATGTTATTTTGTATCATCATATTTTCATCATTAATAATCTTGATGAATAGGGGTCATAGGCAGACATCCTATGCAGAGTAATTTTATTAGGGGCAATCCAACAGCAGTTCACAAGGCAAGCATGGGTCAAAAAACAAACAGGCAGGTACACACTAGGCAAATCCATAATCAAAAAACAAAGGTAACAAAGCAAGGGTCAAAGATAGGAAAATGCCAACACAAAGAGTTAGCAGCTCAGGACTCAGTTTAAATTAACAGAGATTTCACAAGCCTGAAACAAAACACAGAGGTATAAGTAGGGGAGTTAATGAATCCTGAAAATGAGTCACAGTAGTAGTATGAGAGGGTGGAGCCAGGGTGGAGCTGAACCAAACAGAAAAGTCCATGTGCTGACTCTCCAGAGGGGGAAGCCAGGTTGGAAGTCTTCCCAGAGTTGGAATGAACCAATGCAGAATGGGGCAGGTCCAAAAGTCTTCCCAGAAGGGGAAACATTGTGACAAATGCCATACTCAATAATATTATCATTGATCTAATAAAAAAAAAAACCTTGAGCAAGTTTGTCAGTAAATTTATTCATTAATACTGACATATACATTATTAAATTATTCTATAGGATTATTGGATTGAACATGTAGTTCTAGCAACCTTTGCATTAAAAAACTTAAAAAGTCTCTTCACACTCAAACATTTCATCTACAAAAACAGTTCTTTAAAGAACAAACTACTGAATGTTTTTTTAGCGAAAAAAATAGTTCTTCCATGGCATTTCTCCAAAGAATCCTTTTTGACAAATGTATTTTTAAGAGGTATAGTGTTTAAAATTCAGATTTGGGGAAATTGGTCCTAGATCAGCATAAAGCAGTAATTTTAGTACCTCCTCTGTAAAAAATAAAAGGCCAGGGTTTACTGAAGTTAAATAAAAAATAAATGCATCAGCATATACCTCCCAAGACA